GTTTAATTGATGATTTTGTTAGTTTGTCCAAATACTTATGAGCCCTTAAAGTTGGGGGACTGTGTGAAGAAATGGTTGTAATTCCTACACGGTTCATACTACATTTTTGAAAAAAGCCTTAAATGAAAGCTGAGAGTCTGCACTTTCAGCAGGTATTCATTGTTTCATTTAAAACCCATTGTGGTGGTGTACAGAGCCAAAATGATGACAACTGTATCATTGTCCAAATAATTATGGACCTGACTGTATGATTGTAAGTGCAAGTGCCAAGGGGAAGTCAATGAGGGCATGTTGAACGGCTAATAAAATGCTGCCCAGTGTGCCAAATTTGAAGAAATTCCCCACAGATGTTCCTGAGATAAAGGTTTACAAGAATGGGATGGACATGACGTAACAGTGACCTTGACTTCTGACCACCAAAATCTAATCACTTCATTCTTGAGTTCAAGTGGATGTTTGTGCCAAATCAGAGGAAATTCCCTCAAGGCAATATTGAAATATCACATAAACGAGAATGAGATGGAGGGACGGACCAGCAGACAATCCAAAAATGTCCTGCCTCCAATAATTACAAAGTATAATTATTTATAGGTGTTATGACTTAAAATGCAAATTTTAGTAAGAATGAAACAAGTCATCATGTATGTTTTTTTTCTGTTTTTTCTTTTAGTTAAAAAATTAGGAAGGCAGGAAAGGACTTTTTGTATATTTTGTAACTTATAGATGCAAATTTCTGTTTGCTCTCCAAGCAGTGACAAAAGGACTGCAAGCTAAATTACAAAAAGGAAAGGAAAGGATGATGCATCACGCTCTTAAAGACAACCTTTGATGCCAATACATTACGCAGTGTTGTATCTCTGCACCACTTTGGTGGCATCAGACCTCAGTTCAGCAGCAATCAGGAATCTTAAATTACCCCCCATCCCACTGACCACCTGCTGACACTTCAGCAAATCCCTCCACAAGACTGCTCAGATATTCATCAAAATCAAGGAGTCCATAATCAAAAATAAATATAGATTGGTTTAAACAAGAATCAAGACTCACCATGCATATGAACGCTACAGCAGGTAGTTGTGGCTTCTAGCTTCTGCATATTACACTGTTAACATTCAACCCACATAAAACAGACTTGTCCTGTGACTCTGAATCACATTTTAAACCTTTGCCAATAAACATGCAAAAATTCCCACCAAGCAGTTTTGACAGGTATTTATGATTTAGTTATACTGTGTGTCATGTATAAAAACTGTACTGCAATACAACCTTCAGGGATACATGTCCAGAAACAACAGACACTAGCCAAAGTCCAGATAATAAAATGAGGTTGGGATGATGTAACATTACATAATGATGAGGACTGTTTGGTGTCACAACAAGATGCCTGAAGTGCATTGGTTGACAAACAGACAGCATTTCAGGTGTACTTGTTTGAGAAAAAGAAAAGGATCCAACTTTCTAAAGGTTACATTATGAAAAGCGGGGGGATTGGCTTAGAGACAGATGTCAGATTTAATGTAGAGCATTCACAGAGCTAATTCAGCCAACATTTTCTCCCAGGGAAAAGCTAATCAAATTAATTTAAGGGAAACTACTCAAATCCTTCACATCAACATCCATTTACAGGTCTTGTGCCAAATTTCAGTGCAGGAACCAGTTGCATCTGAGGTTGCTAAGCAACCATAAGCAGCACCGCATTACAGCCTAATTACCATAAATCCCAAGTATGAAGCTGATCTTTTCCAGGTGTTGTATTGTAAATGTGTATTAGGCTTTAAACATTGTCAGTGGGACAAATGTAAAGCTGTGGCAGAACTGCACTAAAATGACCACCTTCTTCTCCATATATACTGCAGACTAATATCTACAAAAAAAGGAAAAGATATCTGCCAGCTGTAATAGGTTGTTCCTTTCACATGAAATGCAGTGCATGCTGCTGAGTTTCAAAAGTTGATCTCTGTTTATCTAAGTGTGCAAGTATTGTGCCCTGAAAAATATGTGCTCAGGAACGCTAGTGCATCCTGCAGCATCACTGTCGCTTTCTTGCTGAAAACAATGAATTTGAGAGAGCAAAAAATGCAGTATGTGTATGGACCCTAATACATGGAATTTCCAACTAAACTGTTGGTGGTTAGCTGCACTGTAGGTAATGTAAGTGCCAGGTTTTGACAAGGAGGAGGAATGCATGGGAAGCTGGTTGAAAATCTGCACTTTCCCTTTAATTTGTGGAGTACTCTTATAAGCAATTACGCTTTGATTTTCTTCTCCTAACTTACTGCTGTGCCACTAGTGTAACAGCTTTATAGCTTTATGATGCTAAGCTAGTTCACAACCTAACCATTTGAAAACATCATAAAATGGCTTCCCATAATGCTCTTTCTGAAACAAACATTTGATTTGAATGTACAGCTACAGTTGGGGCTGTTTATAAAGATCAGTTCAGCTCAAGTAAAGAAACTTTATCAAAGTTGATACTGTAAAGACAAAGAAAAGCCTTGGGTTAAATACACAAGGAAGTAGGAGAACCATTTGTAGTCTGGCATTGTCTATGCAAAAATAATAGTCTGTGTAATCACTGATGAACATTCAAACTTCCACATCTTTGAATTCAGATGCACAGTATAGCTACAGCTATTAATTCACTTTGCTACTAAGCTGCCCATTGTAAAGTAGGTCTGTTGTGGTGGAAGGGAATTCATAATTAAGCTGTACTTTTCCTTAGCTAATGTTTGGAATGTTGTAGCTGAATATAGATTCAATGTTCTGTACTGTAAGGAAAATTAAGCCAGGACATATCTATCTTTGCATATTTGTGACATCCTCTGGTTGTGAAAATAGAATAATGGTAATGTCTTGTTGACATTTGGCAATGGTATTCTTGTGCCATGTCCAGGCAA